ATCTACAAGGTCCCTTCCGACCCTACTTCTATGATTCTATGCTCCTGTGGGATGCTCCATCCACACCAGCATTGCAGCATTCACGTGCCACGCCTGGTACCTCGAGGTATGTAGAAAAAAAAAACATTTAAAAGCTGTGTTTATAGCCAAAATCTCCAATTCCCTGAAGCAGCATAGAATCTTCAGATTTGGCCGAATTGAATCAGGGACAGTGATCCGATTCAACAAATTGAATCGCTGTCCCTGATTCGGGCCAAATCTGAATCCAATATGGCCCCTTTCACACACCCCTAATGGACAGTTCTTTGTCTCCATTTCCTCAGACCCAGCTTATGCAGTTGCTCACTATACTTTATATCTTCCTGACTGTTAACTGTGACTTCTCAGTGAGGATTCATGTAGGCTTGAGGAGCCATCAGAAGAAATGACAGAAGTAAAAGCAGTATCCTCAAGTAAGTGAATATATCCAATATTTGGTTATTTGTTTGCAACATACTAGGATCCCTAGCAACTTCTGAAAGCCCAAGAAGCAGTGGTAATAAATCCCCTTGTTTTGATACAACACTTAGCCTGATGGATTTGAACTTCTGATTCTAGTAGAGATTTTAACTGTAGTATGGCTGTATCACATTAGAGCTGGATATCTGCAATGTGGCATACAGATGGCCACACAATAAGACTGCACAAAAAAATTCAGCTGGTTGAGAATATGAAGTGTTTGATAAAAGCTATTTTTTGCAAGCAGGATGTGATTTTCCCTGCTCTGTGATTGGTCCTGCTTTCCATAAGCAATTTAAAATAATTGTTTTAACTCAATAAGCCTTAACACGAGTTGAGAACTGACTGTCTCAGATCACTTCTCCCCACATAAGATATTAGAACAGTTGCGATCTTTTCAAGCACTGAAGCTAAAAACACTTCCTGGAGGCAACGTGTGCTTGGTGAGAGATCTTGAAAATGTGAAATTCACTTCTGATTCAAGTCACCAGAGCCTGCACTTAAACCCTGATTCCTTTATGTTTTCCTAGGATTTTCCAACAGAGGAAAATGATAAGCAGACAGATGGTGGCAGTAAAGACAGCAGACTAGTTTTTGACATTCTTTCCTAAATTATAAGTAGCATGTATATTTTCAGGGATTGATACAATTTTCATAGTTTATAGGGTTGGAAGGAACCTGAGCAGGTCATCAAGTCCGACTCCCTGCCGTGGGCAGGAAAGAATCCTGGGGTCAAATGACCCCAGCTAGGTGATTATCTAGCCTCCTCTTAAAGACCCCCAGGGTAGGAGTGAGCACCCCATTCCTTGGAAGTTGGTTCCAGATCCTAGCCACCCTGACTGTGAAGCAGTGCTTCCTGATGTCTAGCCTAAACCTACTCTGTCAGCTTGTAGCCATTATTCCTAGTTACTCCTGGTAGTGCTCAGGGGGCAAGGGACTCTCCCATTCCCTGCTGGATCCCCTTGGTACATTTATACATGGAAAATCCAGCCTTGAACTTGCAACTCTATGGCCCCAGAGTCAGCACACTCTCCTCTAAGCCAGACAAGTAGAGCTGTATTTTGTTTAAATGCTTCAAAATAAATATATTAAATTGATACATTTTAATCACATGCAGGCATCACAATTTCATTATTACACTACTATATTTTAAAAGAATACTTACTCTAATATCAGGTCTTGATGGGTAACTAAAATGGATATTTTTGAATTCAATTTCTCCTATGAGCCTCTCTGGTTTGTATCCTTCTTTGTCACTGCTATCTATAAGACGTGGCTGGAGAAAGATTTTGAAAATGTATTATGAATTTTTATGCTATTGAAACTGCACTTTTAACTAATATATTCTTCTTCACTTCCTGTCCTCAACCATCATGTTATATGCAGAACACGATTACATAGTTTTTCCATTTCACCCTAGAAAATGGTGCATTTCAATGGAATGCAATCCATTGGTAGCAAAGCATTTAGGATTGAAAGGCACAACAACAAATAATGCATGTTATTACATGTACCTGTCAAATGGGAACTTTAGAAAATGGAGGTGGTGGGATAATTAAATTTTCTAAATTGACTGATTTTGCAGATAAGACATTTTCAAATACAAAGCATTATCCAAAATCCCTAAGAGCAATTGGTCAATAATTGGAATATTTGAGCAATAGTACCAATGTTTGGGTAAAATTCTACCCTTAGTTATACATGTGGAACTTTAGAGAAGTTAGGAAGATAGGACTCAGCCCTTTGTTTTTAATCTAATAAAAAACCTGCATTTTATAATTTGGTTACCATCTTTTGCATTAAAAGATATATAACTGCTGTTGAAAGAAGAAAGAATTAGTTACTAAGAGGGTGCCATCTACGTATACAATTAATTAATTAATTAAATTAATGAAGAGGGTGCATCTACACATGCAGCATTTACATGTATGCCTGGGACAGCAAGTACTGTCCCCAACAGTACTATTCTACAAGTTTACTGAACCCCAATACTGGTGCATGTTGTAGACAGTGACATGTTACTGCAGAGCTAATTAGTCTATTCTGTAGTAAAGTGAACCACCCAGAGTGTAGCATCCTTCTTCAGCAACAGCAATATTGTTATAGCTTTTAGGAGGACTGTTCATTTCTAAATCAAAAGCTAGTTAGGTGTAACAGAGCTAAGGATTCAGGTTCATGTTTCCTAAACATGAGACAAAATGTCATAGTTATGTTTTGAGTTGTAAAAATCTCTGTTATGAATGAATCTATGTTATGAGTCAGAAATTTAAGCTATATGCTTAGCTACCTTATTAATAATTTTGTATACTTCATAGGCAGCACCACGTGCATTGGCAACACTCTCCAAGTTTGGGGATGCCTGTCCAAGAGAGAACGTGCCAAGGAGCACAGAGAAGAACACCTGTAGGGAACAAAAACAGGAGCTCTGGTTAACAGGGATTCTAGATCCTCACTTTCCTTAGTGGAAAATGCCCAGGTAATCTTGTAAGGACTTTTCAGAAAAAAATTTAAAAATCCAAAAATCAAAACCCACAATTACTGCTGCATTCTTTCAGCTCCCTTTGCCCTTATCTTCATGCTGAAAGATTGTAAATGTAGCCATTATATGCAACCATATGCTCTTTAACTGTTTGAACAGCATTTGCTTTTGCTGTTGTGGAAGCATAAGGCAACAACAAAGAGAACAAATAGTGAAAGTAAACATCTTTTCCCACCTTTCATTGAATTAAACTTTTTTCTTCCTTAAAAAGGAATGAAGCTACTAGTTCCAAGTTGAGGGCCCCATCCTGCAACACGTGCTTAAGTTTATACATTGAGAAGTTCCAATGAAGTAAAGGAATTAAAGCTACTTAGAGTACATAACATTAAGCACATGTTTGAGTTTATTTATTCATTTCAAAATAATCCCCAAATATCAGGAAGGTGAAGTAATTCCTTTCAGGTTTTCTTTTTTTAAATACAATCTGATTATGTGACTAAATAAGCTATCCTTTAGGCAACTTTGATATCTTAAGGACATATCCAGAATCTCTGTTGGATTATATTAAATGCATCTTTAAACAGTTAGTATAAACAGATACTTCAGTTTTTACTAGGTACTATGCATAGTTGCATACAGTACTTAAAAAGCAAGCATTTTCTCCAATTCATTGACAATTTTACAAAAGATTGCTTTGCCAGTTAGACTATACACTGTGCTTACAATTAATACTCTCCCAATGTCATAGTTTTCTCTCTCTTCCACTGTGAGCTTGGTTCCATACCAAAATGCAAGAGCATAGGATCCAAATATAAGAAACTGAGAGAGACCCAAAGATGTGTTGGTGGTTATGGATTTTTTCACTCCAACACTTCTGGCATTCTCTAGGTTAGCGTCGTATCTGAAAACAAATCATGAAATGTTAACTATAAGTGCCTGCACATCATTTATATTGGAATTCTTCAGTTTCCTTTCATGCTTACAGGGTTTTTCTTCTATAACATTCCATTGTTGGACATAGTAAAAACTGATAGGTTAGTTCAGTGGTTGTCAACCAAGGTACACGTAGCGCTAGGGGTACCTATAGGGAGTATTCAGACTTAGGTGTCACTGCTAAATTCCATGTGTGAGCACAGCTACAGCCCAGCATGCACGCTGCTAGGAGAACAGCCGGGTCTGGCTGGTAAGTATGTTGTGAGGGAAGTGGCTGGGGGAAGGGGCAGATCCCCCCCAGTGGTGGGGAAGGGAGTTGGGCTGGGGCTGGGTCAAGGGCGCCAGACTGAGCCACACGGGGGACGGCTCCTACCACTGTGCACATCCTGAGAGGGTATGGGGGATGTGTGCCCTCAGATCTGAGTGGGACAAGGCAGGATGCCACTGTGGGCTGGGACCAGGGCTGCACCAGGCTGTTCCCAGCAGAGGCTGAGCCAGGCTGTGCTCTGGGTAAGAAGTGGTGGTACTGGGAAGGGACTATGGGAGGGGCTTCAGCCACCCCAAAATTCACTGTAGCCTCCCTGATAGCCCCCTTCTGGCACTGCCGCTGCCCACCCCAAGCTCAGCCTGGCCTAGTCCCCTCCAGCAATTGCCCAGTGCCAGCCCAAGCCCTCAGCTGCAGCCTGCCCTGCCTTGCGCGCAGAACCAGGGGCACACACCCTGCTCCCCTATGCCATCCTGGTGGTACATGCAGTGGTAGGAGCCAGGGTTGAGTGTGGGACAAAGCCGCAGCTTGTTGGGGGGGGGGGGGTAGTAGCTCCCACCACTATGTGCACCCTGGAAGGACACAGGGGCGTGTGCCCCCATATCTGTACAGGGCAGGGTGTGATATCACTGAGATGGGGCTGGGGCAGCACTGGGCTCTTCCTGCCTAGGACTGGGCCAGGTGGTGGCAGTGCTGGGGGAGGCCTACGGGGGCTGTAGCCACTCCAGAATTTGCTGTAGCACCCCGATACCCCTTCCAGTACCACCACTGCCTGTCCCAAGCACAGCTGTGCCCAGCCCCCGCCTGGAACAACCCAGCACCAGCCCTAGCCCACAGCAGCAGCCCACCCTCCCTCATGTAAATCCGAGGACACGCCCCGTGCCCTCCCTGGGGTGTGCATAGCTACATCAACCAACTCCCACACAACTCAATCCTGTGCCACATCCTGGCCCCTGCCCCAGCCCCATTCGCTCCCCCACCACTGGGCCAGCCTGCCTTTGCCCCATGCACAGATCTGGGAGCACACACCCCCATGCCCTCCTGGGATGTGTGCATCAGCAGGAGCCACTACCCACTCCCCGCGCTCCCTGGATGAGCTGCTTGAAGCTCTGTCTGTAGCCCTACTCCCTCCCCCTCACCATGGGGGTCTCAATTTGTGCCCCCTGCACACCCCTTAAAAACATGAAAAAATATGAAGGGGTACCTGATATGGAACTTTTAGAGAGAAGGGGTATACTTGTTTAAAAAGGTTGGAAACCCTTGGTTATTTAAAAAAAAGTGTTTCTTCTTCTTCCATATCCTCTCTAATCTTGTAGTCTTCCGTGTGTGAATAACTGTTCACGTTCACTCCTAATCCTTTTGGCACAGTATATTGAAAGTTTTGTACATGTTCTCACCCAAATATAGAAATACTCAAAGTGAGGGGCAAGACTGAAGCAGTAGGACAGGTATCCTTGAATGATTTGTAACAGATTCCTTTCATGAAAGATGCTCAGATACCATTGGAGTAATACAGATTAGACCAAATAAATAAATTTGCAAATAAGTTTTTTTTACGTCTTAAGCACTGGTTTAAAACAATGTTGAAGCCCTTTGTAAAGAATTCCTTTAAGATTGTGATCCAAGGCAGCTTAACTATAAGCCCATTAGTCAGTTAATTTCAATAGAAGTGAGCATGTGCTTAAAATTAAAGCACCTGATGGCATGCTCAGCTGAACTGGAAGGTCCAAATCATTTGGCCCCAGGGAATTTCTTGTGTGCTGGATGAAGTACTTCCAGCAGCAAGTTAGTGGCTTGTTGGTACAGGTGATGGAGCTGCTGCATTGGCATGGTTCTGGAACCGAAGGGTGTATACTGCTACCACTCACCCCCACATTTCCCCTTACTTTTAGTCAGTGGTGACCAAAGACTCCAAATTTGGATGTGGATAAAGTGGGGGAGGGGCAAGCAGTGTCCACTTTCTGAATTCACTGGGTTGCAATTCAACCTCTGTGTGGGCTGCATCTTAACCATTTGTAGGCCACATGAGGCCCACAGGACACCTGCTGCAGAGCAATGAGCTAGAGGGATTTCTTCTCTATCTTCATATTAGACTTCCAGTTGTCTGGGGGATAAAATGACAGATCTTTTGTGATTTTTTTTTTAAATAACCCAATATTTTTTTAAATATTGAATACAAAAGTTTCTCTCAAAAGCTTACCTTGCTTGTGCCTTCTTTTGTCCATTAAAAGCAACAACTGTCCTGATAGCAGTCAAAATTTCTTCTGCTACCGCTCCTGCTTTAGCATAAGCAGACAGCTCTTTTACAGTGAGTGAGGCCAAGAGCTGGGAAGTTTTGTAGGGAAAAAAATAAATTTTATTAAAATCTATTAAAGAGCTTTATCTTGTGCATTATTAAAGGGTGTCCCAATGGTAAGGGTAGAATCATGAAATCTGGGAGAAACTGAATTCAAGTTCCACCTGTGCTTAGAAACTGGTATAATAGAACTTAGATAGATTAAAGATAATACTATTTCCTCTTCCCTTACTACTTTGCTTCACAGAAAAACAAAACCTTAAACATATAATAGTATTTAGTGAATGGTTTTATTACAAGTGATACCCATTAAAAGTCACAACTCACAAGCATCTCCCCATGCATTTCACAATGCTGTACATTTCCTGTCAATAGAAATAGGTGGCAGAACGTGCCGAGATGGGGTAGGGATCCTCTCCAGGCTTTGTACTCATGATGCTTTGCATGTATTCCCTCTTTTTCATTCAAGAAGGATCATAATTATTACGTTGTCCTTCCCCCCAGAACTTACCCTTGACCAAACTGCTGCTGAGGCAGCAAGTAGAGGGCTAACCGACAAAATCACCAAGGTCAATTTCCACCCGTGGACAAATCCTATAATAATGCCCGTTAGAAAGGTGGCAAAAAATTGTACAAATATACAGATCTTGTCTCCAATGCCTTCATGGATGGTATTAATGTCACTGGAAATTAGAAAAGAAAAACATTTGTTAAAATTTGATGAATGTCTTCCTATCACATATGTTTCTGTTTTGCTGAAGAGATGACAATGGATCATAAGTTTAACTATCCAGATCATTGTGGTGGTAAAAATTCTGGATTTCTGAACAGCACTATTAGCTCCTTGGAACAGCCTCCCATTTTTACAGCTCATTTTCTGTCTGTAACCTTAGGATCAGCAGCAGCTGCTGCAATTTCCAAGTCCTCCCCTCCATTGACTGCTGAAATTTGAAGATACGAAGCATGAATATCTTAATTTTGCATCCAATGCAAGCACACTATCAATACATTGTTATTACATAGAACCACTGCGTATAATATTAAGTGTTTTTCTGAATATATAAACAAACAGGTTGGATTAGTGTCATCCTCTTCAGGATTCACAGTTCCCTAAACTAGATATATTTTTTCTACATGTCAATCTTAAATTGTATAAAATTTCTTTACGTGCATGTACCTCTCAATTATATCCAGTGCTCCGAAGCCCACTGAAGTCAGTTTAAAGACTCCAAATGACTTCAGTTGGTTTTGGATCAAGTGGAATGAGACTATGCTGACAAATGATAAGAGTACATTTATCTGATCTAATGTCAGGATTTACAGTGTTTGTAAACTAGCTAGAGACAACATGGCTGTTTATCTGCAGTTGCTAAACAGTTCATAAATATTACAAGTCAAATGTTAGCCAAGTAGTACTTGTCATGACATAAACCTTTGCAGTGCACGTGTCACAGAAACTCAGTAAATTAAGTGAAAACTGGTAACTAATTTTCACTTCAAATAACTGTATGTTTCAGGTTTTATTTGAGCAGTTCTTGAACACTCTTTAGATAAATAAGAGATAAATTGAGATATTCTTCTAGATGTCATATTCATGGTACATAAATAAAGTCCTCTCACTCTGTTAATCTGGTATTCAAGGTTCCAATCTGGGTGGTGTCAAACCAAGCCATCTCCTGGTGAAGCACTGCAAAAAAAAACTTTTGTCGGATTCTTGCTGTCTGTCTTGTAGCCGAAGTCAAAAATGTCCACACTTGGATGGTGCTCAGTATCAATACAGCAGAACCAATAGCAACATAATAGTAGGCAAACCTGCAGTTAAGACAGTAAAAAATACCTAAGATGTACTGTACCCTGGGAGAGAAATTAAGATGCATCAGGCCAAATTCTGTCTTCATTTGCCCATTTACAAATGTGCTAAAACCAATGGAACGTAGTTGAGGACAGACTATAGCCTGTAGCTGAATAGAATAAACAGCAAACAAATAAACAACAAAATAAAGAAACAAGAACATGCTGTTCTTAAGAAAATAACTGGAGATTCTTACTTTGTCATTTCAGCTTCTATATCTACACCTGGAATTGGAGCACAAGCAGAGCTATCCAGCGTAGCAACTGGAAACAAGAAAAAAGATTAAGTGTTATTACTGAATTAACCACCAGGTCTCATTCAAGGAGATGACACTGTACTCCAGATAACAATTCTGTTGATTTACAGCTTGCATTGCAGCCATCAGCCTTGCAGTAGAGGCTTAAACCAGGCCAAACTTTTGTTCACAAGGTCACTGTAGAGTGATGTCATGGATTTGATACACTGTGGGTCTGTCTGCACTGTCTCTGGTGTGCTTGTTAGGCTTTGAATAGGCGCCTGTAGAAGATGTCTTAAAGCTGTTCTTATTAATAAGAGCAGAAATGAAGCCAAGACGCACAAAGAGCAGTCTGTTATTCAAATGTTTACCTTGTTGTAGATAAACGCTGTCTTTCTGTATATATTAACACCGTTTTTTGAATTGATAATGGTTGCACTCAACTTACCATGCTTGTAGCTAGACTTTTTTGGGAATTGTTACTTTTTTTAGTTGTTTTTAAATGCACATGTGCAAGAAGCAATATACACATCTACTAGAACAGGGGTTCTCAACCTTTTTGGATCAGTGTACCTCTGGTGGCCAGATGCGGAGCAGTGTACCCCCAGCAGCCAGATGCGGAGCTGGGGGGAGGTGGGCAGATGAAAAAGATTTCCCACTTCCATTGCAAATAAGGCGAGATTTATCTATGCAGACTACATTTCAAGGCAAAGCCATACATCACTCAAGTACCACCCAAGCTCCACAAAACCAAGATTCCAGTGGCAGCTTAGCCATTTGCTGGCTGTCTGGAAAGACATTTGCTCAAAAAAAAAAAAATGCAATCCTATTTATATCTGGGGAAAAAATGAGGAAATTAGACCCTAAAAA